AAGTGATTTGACTAGATGACTGTTAATTATAACATGAGTTTACATGTCTAGCTGTCAAGTACATGCATGTATGTACCCAGTTAGGAGTTCTGAAGCTGGATCGTAGAATGATAGAATGGCTTACATTGGAGAGACCTTAAAGATCTTCCAGTCCCAACCTCCTGCTGTGGGTTGCCCTCCACCAGCCCAGACTGCCCAGGGCCCCATCCAGCCTGGCCTTGGGCATCTCCAGGGATGGGGCACCCACAGAATCACACAGAATCACACAGAATCACAGAATACCCAGCTTCTCTGGGTACCAGTGCCAGTTCTTCACCACACTCTGAGTAAAAAATTTCTTCCTAAAATCTAACCTAAATCTCCCCTCTTTTAGTTTAAAGCTGTTCTTACTTGTCCTGTCACTATCAGACCATGTAAAAAGTCAGTCCCTCTCCTGCTTGTAAGCACCCTTCAAGTACTGGAAAGCCACAGTGAAGCCCCCCCCCAGTCTTCTCTTCTCCGGGTTAAACAAGTCCAGTTCCCTCAACCTTTCTTCATAGGAGAGGTGCTCCAGCCCTCTGACATCTTTGTGGCCCCCCTCTGGACCCACCAACAGCTCCACATTTTTCCTATACTGGGGGCCAAGACCTGGACACAGTGCTCCAGCTGGGGCCTCACAAGGGCAGAGGAGAGGGGGACAATCACCTCCCTGCTGCTGCCACTCCTCTGTTGATGCAACCCAGAATACTGTTGGCCTGCTGAGCTACAAGAGCACACTGCTGGCTCATGTCCAGCTTTTTGGCCATCAGGACTTCTTCTTGGCAGGGCTGCTGTCAAGGAGTTCTTCTCCGAGTCTGTACTGATATCTGGGGTTGCCTTGTTAAATTTCATTAGGTTCATGTGGGCCTACTTTTCAAGCCTGTCCTGATCTTTCTTGTTGGCATTCCTTCCTTCTGTTGTGTCAACTGTACCATTTAGGTAGGTGTCATCAGCATACTTTCTGAGAGTACACTCGAACCCATCAAAACCCCATCACCATCTGGATCTCATCCCCAAATGTTTAGGTAATTAAGGAAAAATAAGGTGATCTCTAAACTTCTTCTCTCCCTTTTTTTATGAAACACAGTTGTGATTTCAGTCTGGTTAAAGACCCTGCGTTCAGTTCAGCTTCTGAAATTGACATCAGTGCAATAGGTGCCTTGAGTTTGGCCAAACAGCATCTCTCCAAAGTCACTGCTCTATAGTTCCCTATGACTTTCCAAAAAGCTTTTGCTTCTGTGGTAGTGGTGCCCTAGCCTATGCAGGATTGTCCTGGCCATAAAAGGACCACAGAGGAGTCCAGCTTCATCACTGCTCAGCACTGCATTTATTGACTAGATGTTCTGCAAAACCTGAGCAGCTCCCTTGATCCAATGTGAGATACACCGAGGTTTAAAACAGCTGAAAAGCCATGCCATGAAAGTGCTCAGAATCTTCCTTAGCATTTTATACAATATATTCATTAGGTTCTTTCATAAGAACTCCTTTCATAAGAACTTCTTATATAGGACCTGAGGTGTTGGCACAGGCTGCCCACAGAGATGGTGGAGTCACCGTCCCTGGAGGTGTTCAAGAGCCATGGAGATGTGGCACTGAGGGACATGGTCAGTGGGCATGGTGGGGTTTTGTTGATGGCTAGGCTAGATGCTGTTAGTAGTCTTTTCCAGCCTTAATGATGGTCTCTGTGGTGTGCAAGGCAGGTTGTAGACCACTCATAAGTGATTCCAAACAAAGATCTGAGAACAATTTCAGTTTGTCCAGCAATCCAGTATGAGAAGAAAATATCCTCAGGGTTACAAGCAGGCACAAATTGCAACTCCAGGGAGTGCAGGTGTTGTCTGCAGAATGTGGCAAAGTGTGCTGTGCAGGTTTTCTGCTGTTGTAATGAAAAATAGTAATATCAGGAGCTACCATAGGCATTCCATAGCTGTATAAGGAGCAACGGAAAGACAAAAATGGAGAGCAAATAACAGATGATAAGAAGGTTGAAATGCGTTACAGTGCTTATTCTAGTCTTAAATGAAAAGGATAATAGTAGCAGGATATTTAATACAATCATAGCTGACAGAGCTAGGAAGCCTTGTAAGGGAGAATCCAAAAGAAAAAGGCTGCTGATTGCCTAAATCACTTGAATGTTCTTAAATCAGTGAGGCTAAATGAAATTCACCCTTGACTATAGTGCTTAAAAGAGCTGGTGCAAAAAGCCATTGGTGGATAAAAGCCTCTCCTGTCTTCTAAAGACAACGCGATGGTACGTACTCTTCAAATCCCTTGGTAAAAAACACTGTTATTATGTGTACCCTTAATGCCTTTGGGGATGAGCCTGAATCGCGGCTGCGCGTGGCCATGCATGCACACACACATATACAGAGCTTTTCCTGGCTGGTTGTGCAGGGGGGAGAGTAAGAGTGAAAAGTGACATGGGTTTTGATATGTAGCATTAACTTTCAAGCTGAGGAAAGGGAGCAACATGTTCTAATTATTATTCCCCTTCGAAATAAGCCACGAGCTCAGACAAAGAAGGAGAGAAAGGGTGGGGAATGAAAGAGAGAAACAGAATCACATTTTCTCACTTATCTAATTAAAGAGAGATGGGCGAGCAAGAGGAAGAGCTCACCATGCTAATGCAGCAGTGATGCCCCATTTATTGGGGGCAACCTGGGGGCAAGGGACTCATCCAGGAATCGCCCAGCACTGCTCTGGTTTAAATTCCAGATATACGAATTTAAACCAACCTCTGGGACATCTTGGTGCCTGTTGGACCCCTCATCCTAATTCAGTGCACACCTATGCTCGTGCTTTATCCTTCTTCGTGGTACAGCTGCTCCTTGTACAGCCCTGCTCTCACACGTGCTGCAGCGCCAAGGGAAGTTGCTTGCTCTGCTACGGGTGTATATATTTCACAACTTTATTTAAACTGCCCTTTAGCAGCTCTTTCTGCTTCCTAAGCAGGCTGTGATGGGGATTAACCTCCCCGCCAGGGCTTGTCTGGCTCATCCCTGTGTACTTGCTATCCGCATTATTCCTGTGTCCCGATTCCACGTTTCGTCTTGGCTCCCTTGTAAGGTTAAACGCCCCCAACCTTCTTAAAAAAAGCACTTCCTGAAATCAGAGCTTTGCCACCCACTGCCATATGTCCACTGCTCCCTCTCCTACAAGCTACTGCTTAAGGGCATTATGGTATCTGCAGCCAAGTGCCTGACATTTGTCACTCTGGGGAAGGGGAGCAGCCAGTTCACCTCCTAAGAAAGCTCTATAGAAATGGATTTCAGCAAGGAAAAAGAGAGGTGCCTCTTTTTTCCTTGTTCGTGGGCTGATGGAGTGATCCCAAGCCTTACTCAGCCCCAGCCATGTGGTCCTGTGCCATTCTGGAGGTACAGCGTGGAGCCACACGGTCACCAGTCACTGGGGATTTGTTTCAGAAGAGAAGCACTGTCATTTTTCCTTTTGCATCACTTCTCTGGCACTGAGCAGCAGCAGGGTAGCTAGACCTAAACCCATTGTGCCCTAGGTAAAATTGCTGTCCTCGTTCAGCCTGTGACCCTGGTTGTCTTCCCGCTGCCACGTCCCTGCTGTCTTGGGTAGGGTTCAGCTCACTGCAGGTGGTAAAGTGCTGGCTCTAATTGAGCTTGTACCAGGCTGACGTGGCTCTCAGGCAGGAAAACAGTGTGAATTCATTGCCACTGGAAGGAAAAATCCTGTTTTCTCCCCAAATGAAACCTGCTTTTTCCATTAGAGTTGGGAAAGGGGAAGCCCTGGAAGCAATCCTAGTCATTGCTGTGTTCTCACCTGCCTGGCCAGCTCTAAGGAGAAGCCCATTAGCTGGCTGCAGCTCTCCTATCTCCCAGTGACCCTTCCATGTCCCTGCTCCTGCTGTGCCTTGGCTTTCCTGCTGCTTAAAAACCTGCCAGAGCCAAGGAGCTTCTGGAAGAGCAGAGGCATGTGCAGGCCAGCAGATGCTGCCAATGCCCAGCGTTTCTCAGGACTGTGAGCCTCAGGAATATTTGTTTGCATCCTGACCTCAGTCCCATGTGGGGTCTTTGGTGGCCACAATTTTTATGCCTGTCTATTGCAAGAGATTATCTTTTCTTGCCGTGCTTCCATTGCTTGCCTCCTGTTTGTGTGGATTTCTTCTCAAGGACCACATTTACCCATTCAGCTTCTCACTGTATTCCGTGGTGCTTTATGGTAGAAACACATATATAAAAAGAATAATCTGTGTTTGGGCTCTTGGTTTTTCGATCGCAGTTTTCTCTCATGGGGGGTTTGTTCTCCTTTAAGCCATGTTCAGTGACAGACAGCTTCATTTGCTCAGATGTCCTTTGCCCTCCAAGGTTTAATGTATTTATTTAGAAGATGCAACTTACTGTCAGTATTTGTATAGCACCCTCTGGAGTCCGACTTCTCCAAAATCTAGAAGTGCGTTATTTGTTTCCGCAACAAATAAACCTTATTAATTAAAAGGTGGTGTTATTCATCGACTTCCATAGTGGTAGTTAAAACCCACACTATTTGCCAGCTTTTGTTTCACATCCACAATGCCAGCATAGTCTTTTTTGTTTGTTTGTTTTTTCTCCTTTTTTTATTTGTGCTGTAACGATCACTCCTGCATTTCAAGGTTAATTCTGAAAGCTTACCTCGTGTCTCCAGTGCATAAGGTGTTACATTCAGCATGTGTTCAGAATGAGCTTTTATTCTGAAAGCCCTTCGTACAGCTGTACAACACGCGTTACCACCTTTTGAGGATTGTTTTCATTCCCTCTGGGACCAAATCCAGCCCTGATAACATAGCATCAAAGGCTGCATCACCTCTGGCCTACCTGAGCACCAAGCACCAGTGCAAAATCCGTATCCCCAGGACAGCTCCAAGGGTAGCATGTCTGCAGGTTGGGTGACAAGGGACAGTTTGCACAGACGGAGGCGGAGATGCCGAGCAGCTGAACAAAGGCTGCAGTGCGTTGTTGTTTTCTCCCCCTTTGCAGTACGCCGCGGAGCTGCTGGCGGTGGTGCGTCTCCCCTTCATCCATCCCAGCTATCTGCTAAATGTTGTTGACAATGAGGAGCTGATAAAGTCTTCGGAGGCCTGCCGGGATCTGGTGAACGAAGCCAAGCGTTATCACATGCTGCCGCACGCCCGGCAGGAGATGCAGACACCGAGGACCCGGCCCAGGCTCTCTGCAGGTAAAACAAAACTTCCTTCAGCAGCACCAGCTTGCATCCAGGTACAGACCAGGGCACGCTCAGGGCTGGGGCACAGACCTTGGCTCCTTCCCTTTGCTCACTTTCCAGCATGAACTTGGCAAAATGTTAAGCTCTGTTTGCAATTCCGCTTTGATTGAGCATGGAAGAGCGTGGTGACGCATTGGATCAGGTTGCCCAAGCAGGTTGTGGATGCCCCATTCCTGGAGGCATTCAAGGCCAGGCTGGATGTGGCTCTGGGCAGCCCAGTCTGCTGGTTGGCGACCCTGCACACAGCAGGGGAGTTGAAGCGGTCATTGTGGTCCTTTTCAACACAGGCCATTCCATGTAGGAGCCTCTCCCAGTGGCCCAACATTAGGAATTTAGGTGTACATTCCTGAAACTGGATTTAAAAGGGAACTTGTAAGCAGTAGGGAAATTAATTTTTTACATAGGTAGATAGTGATAGGACAAAGGGGAAAGGTTTCAAACTAAAAGAGGGGAGATTAAGTTTAAATGTCAGGGAGAGATTTTTCATTGAGAAGACACTGCTGCCCAGAGAGCAGGGGGTGCTCCATCCCTGGAGGTGCTCAAGGCCATGGATGGGCCCTGGGCAGCCTGAGCTGATGCCTGATGTAGTGGTTGGCAACCCAGCCCATGGCAGGGGGTTGGGACTGGGTGATGTTTGAGGTCCCTTCCACCCCAGGTGGAATTACAAGCTTTGGCAGAGACAGTGAGGGTCAATGTGATGTTCCGTCACTGTCCTGTCGTCAAACCCCCTGTGCCTCAGTTTCTCTGGCTGCAGGAAGAGATGAATAATAACATTTGCTTCTTTGCCATTCAACCTCTTGCAAGGAGCAGCTGATTAATATTCATAATTAAGCCTCACTTTCACAGCCCTATGTAAATGTATTCTTGCAGTCCTGCAGTACTAGTACAGACAATTCTGCCTCCAAAACAAATGGATACACAGGATAAATTCCCTTTTAAAAAACCCTTTTCAAAATCCCACAAATTTTCCTTTTTGGAAAAATACACATTTAAAAAAAAAAAAAACAAAAAAACAAGTGTGGCAGCACTGTGTCACGTTAGTGTTATAAATATCCAAGGGACGGAACACCTCCCCTGCAAGGACAGACTGAGAGAGCTGGGGCTGTTCAGCTTGGAAAAGAGAAGGCTGTGGGGAGACCTAAGAGCAGCCTGTCGGCATCTGAAGGGTGTCTGCAGGAAGGAAGGGGACAGACTCTTTAGCAGGGTTGCTTTGATAGGACAAGGTGTAATGGCATTGAGATAGCATATCAAACCGCATCATTTGCTGCTTCTGGAGGCTCTCATCAAGGCACCTTTCAGAAGAATGAAGTGTAGAGGACTTTCAATAACAATCTACCCTAAAAAGTCTTTCACTGAAGACGACTAATGGTGTGATGTTTGAAGGGATTTTTGAAAAGTGCTTATTTTATGTATATAAAATTGTAGGTGTAATATGAACCATTTCCAGAAGCTTGTTGATGAGGGAAAAGTGATTCTCGCAGGGTAAGAGAGGGTGATTATAGTTTTTTAGGTCAGAGCTTAATTATATAGAATCGTGTTATTTTGCATATCAACGGCATTCACGTAGGCACAAAGGATCTCTAAACATCCTTTGTGGACTCACTGCAGCATGCCACATGCCCTCTCGAGGTCATTGATTATAATCAAGTTATGTTGTGCTCAGGTGATTAGCTTTTCTGGTATGTTGCAAAAATAATGATCTCTTGTTACTGAAAAATATTTATTTAAAACTCTACCGCACTTTGGCTTAATAACTTGTAAGAGAGTAACCTTGTTTGAATGACAAATATATATATATTTTAAAGAGCTAATGAAAAACAGTGATAATCCGTTCCTCTGAAGCATTGCTCAGTGCTGGAGCTCCTGATTTCTCTGGCTGACAGCCTCACTTCTGGGCACCTGGACGCACTTGACTCTGAGCTGGGCACCGTAACAGATCACAGCAATGGCTCTGGCCACAAGCAGAGCTCCTGAAGTGGCATTTCCTTCCAGTTCGTGCTCCAGCTTCTGGGTCTGCCCTTCCTGGCAACAGATTGCACTGAGCCTTACAATTTTAACACTTGTTGCTTAGCACTAAATCCAAATTATCCCCAGCACTTGGCACTTGGGGGTTAGAGGCAGAAAATGTCCCAGAGTTAAACTGTGACCCACAGTTGCAATCCACTGCAATGAATGATTCTGGAGAACCTTGTGGATCAGATTTGATGTACTACTGGCTGAGATTCAAGTGGGAGGAAAAAACGTACAGATTTGGCCTGCAAAAGTTTTGTCCATTTGCCCCAGCAGAGAACTTGGCTTGCTCTACACCTTGTGTGCTATGGGCCTGGGGAAGCTGTTCAAGCACAGATAAATCTCAGTTAATGACAATAATGGAGCAGAAGCTCTTTTTCTCCTGTTTCCTAACACTTGGTCCATTAAGACCCCCATTAGAGGCTTGAGGAAGAGTTTCCTGCATATGGAAAACCAGGTTTCTCCAGGAAAAGCAGGAAAAAAAGACCCTTGAAAATTATCCAAGCAAATACGTGGATAAAGAAAGTCAGGATGAAGAAAAGTAGCCATAGGCTAAACCTGCTGTGGAAGAACAACCTTCTATAAGTTCAATCCCAATATATTTTGTCTAAATAACAGTCAAGCTGCAGTGATATCACAGCCCTTGAGAAAATTCTCATTTCCTTCAGCAGAACAAGGATTTGATACGTGTGGGTGTCACCCAAAGACTGTTGAAGTCACCAGACATCTTTACAATGGGAAGAACTTTTTTACTTCTTTCCCCTTTAGAATGTTGTCCAGATGATGTGCTGCCTTCCCAGTCACCCCCAGCATGCTCACCCCCCACTCTCCCCACAAGTTTTCCATTTTTCCTCACTCTTCCTGATTTGATTGTACAAAGACAGATGTATCCACAATGTGTTACAGCTGCTCTGATTGCTGAGTGCTTTTTGTAGTCTCCTGTCTAGTAGAGAGGTATCACTTTCTTACAATGCTCTTCTGCTTTTTGAATCCTAGGCGTAGCTGAGGTGATAGTCTTAGTTGGGGGCCGTCAGATGATTGGCATGAACCAACGTGCTTTAACAGCGGTCACTTGCTTAAATCCTCAAAACAACAAGTGGTACCCTTTGGCCAGCCTGCCCTTCTATGATCGGGAGTTCTTCAGCGTGGTCAGTGCTGGAGACAACATTTATCTTTCAGGTGAGCAGCAAATATCTGGGGCTGGGAGAAAAGCTTCCTCCTTACAACACAGACAGAACAAGCAAAGAAGGTTATGTTGTTCCTGGGGGATAAAATGAAAAAAGACAAGTGAGAGAGGTGCTGGGAAAGGGGATTTCCATGTTTTTATCATTCTCCATTTCTCTGCCATGCTAGCGTGCTCTCGAAGCAGTCAAGAGCAATATTTTGCTGTCGCAACATCAAAAAAATAGGCCTGACAACCATCAGGCATGCAAAGAGGTTCCACTGCCATAGTAACACAATTTAAAATATTGGCTGTAGTTGAGTCTAAATGGTGGGTTATGGAATTTGAGACAGACAGGCTGAACTGCTGAATATGTGACCTACACTTACAGTATTTGCTTACAGGGGCATTCATTTCTTGTACTTGTTGTTGAAACCTCTCTTTTGACAGTAGTCACTAGCCCTATAATCTTCTTAGTTTCAATGAAACTGAGACCACGCTCCTTAAAAGGCTTTAACTCCCAAAGTAGCTGTCTGCTCTGTGCCTGTAGCATTGCAGTGTCTGGTTATTTGCAGTCTTGTGGTACCTCTGCTTGGCTGGAGGGCGAAAAGCAATTGCTAGCAGGCTACAGCTTGCTCTGATGGCAGCAGTACGGAGGTTTGGGGATGAAGGAAGGAGTCGGGGCAGGGAGGTGCAGGTGTGTGGGATCTGAAGACAGAGATGCACCAGGCAGTACCAATAAGAGTTACAGCTGTTACCTTTCCCTTCTGGTGTAACCTCACTACATTTTCTGCAGTGAATTGCTGCCTGTGGTGTTAAATTCCATTAATACTGCATAGAGGCCCTAAGGAAATAAGGAAAAAAAAAGGAAGAAAAAAAAAGGAAATTATTTGTTTGGCATTTTCTGCCCATGCTCTTTTTTGGTGCCAGAGCGAAAGCCTTCTATGGAGGCTTTTGACTTGTAGTTATTCTTAGCTGGAGCACTTTCCAATATGTAAAGATATTTTAGATTGTGCCTTACCTGCTGGCAAAAGCCATCGAGTCCTGAATTCAAAGCTCATTTCAGCTCTTTCCCTTGAATTTGGATGAATGAGTTGGTGGTACTCAATGGATAAAATAGGAGAGCTGGAAGTCCTGCATGGCTGGAAACCCAGCACAGTGTCACTGGATATTTTGCTTTGCTCAAACTTATAAGACATAGGAAAAACATAAGGGAAACCAATAGAAAAGGGACTGAATTCCTGCAAGCTCGAAGCACTGGACTCCACAATGCATATTGTAGGTTTTGAGAGTGAAATAGCAAGGAGAAGGCCTGGGTTTGTCATTAAACCACAGAACTGAGAGACTTGTTTCTTTCCCTGGCTCCACCCAGGACTCCTAGTGTGGTCTCAGATAAATCATTTTGCCTTCTTGTTCTCCAAAATGGGAATAGTGAGGCATGAAATAAGTAGCTCCATTGGGAGCTACTATGAGAAGTTTAAAAAGTGCCAATATACATATGCAGAAAGCCAGCCATATCCTGGACTGCATCAAAAGAAGTGTGTGAGGCCCCACCTACAGTGCTGTGTTCAGCACAGAAAGGATGTGGAGCTGTTGGAGTGGGGCCAGAGGAGATCTATAAGGATGTTGAGAGAACTGGAACACTTCTGCTATGGAGACAGGTTGAGAGAGTTTGAGTTGCTCAGCCTGGAGAAGAGAAGGCTCTACGGCTATACCATGGCATTCCGGTGCCTAAGGGGCCTACAGAAAAGACAGGGAGAAACTCTTTGTCAGAAAGTGCATTGAAAGGGCAAGGGATAATGGCTTTCCACTAAAAGAGAGGAGAGTCAGATTAGAGATAAGGAAGAAACTCTTCACTACATGGGCAATGAGGCCCTGGCAAAGGCTTCCCAGAGAAGCTGTGGATGCCCCATCCCCAGAGGCCTTCAAGGGCAAGTTGGGTGGGAGCTGGTGGGTGGCTGCTCTGCCCAGGGCAGAGGGTTGGAACTAAAAGGTCTTTAAAGTTCTTTTCAACTCAAACCATTCTATAATCCTGTGATTTCACTTGAGCATCTTAAACTGATTTGAAGGAACAGTACAGCTGGTTCTTCCATTTATCAGCAAATGAAAATAAATAAGAATTTTGTCCTTGAAAATCAGGCATTAAGCCTACAGTGCAAGCACTGAATCTGTTCTGCCCATGTATATGCTGCTTTGATCCATCACTGTATGAAGCACTTAGATTTCATTCTGGACTGTGTCTTGCATCCCAGATAGGCTATGCCTCATAATACCTTCTTGCAAGTGTTGCAGTAATTTAATAGACTGGAAGTTATTTATGAACATTGGAAAGGGTCTATCCCCTTATGTACTTGTCCCTTGAAGTCTGACATCTTGATTTCTTCATGTCATCTAATGAAAAAAGAAAAAAAAAAGCCTTTGGGACGCATGAATAAATGACACAGATATGCATCATCGGAACAGATGCTCGGTATTGAGGGTGATTTATTTTAATTAGTCAAATGTCATTTGAAGAGTTTTTACTTTGTAACTGGCTTTGATTGCTGTGTGCCAAGCTGCTCCCGTTCCAGGAGCTCATGTACTTCTCCCCTTTTTCTTCCCCTCACCCACACGTTGGTGCCAGGCGGCATGGAGTCGGGTGTCACACTGGCTGACGTCTGGTGTTACATGTCCTTGCTCGATAACTGGAACCTCGTGTCCCGGATGACAGTCCCCAGGTGTCGACATAACAGTCTGGTGTACGACGGGAAGATTTATACCATCGGAGGGGTCGGCGTGGCAGGCAACGTTGACCATGTGGAAAGGTAAAAAAGAAAGAAGAGTGGCGGTTTGCTGGCGCTTTGACTTCTCGCTGTGCTAGAGGTTGCTTTTCCTTTTAAAGGACGCGTCGAACGTGTCGTACGCGTTCAAATAAGCTTTCACAACTGCTAAGAAAGGAGGGAAATATGCAGGATTAGATTTCTTTTAAAGCTTCAGTGGAAACCATTGTTTCGAAACCAAAGATGAGAGCTGCCAGATTGTTTGTTGGTTTGCTCAGGGGAGGGAAGGGAGGAATTAAGCTTCTTTGGACACTTCACACAGATTATACAGTGAACTCGATAGACTAATAAATGTCCTCTGAATTTGGTACTGATGGAAGTCTTAGCAGACCTCAAAAATCCTTCTTTTTTTTTTTCTTTTCTTTTTTTTTAAATTAAGAAAAGGCAACAGCAAAGTAAATTTCACATCTGCACCCTCCTGGTAAAGCATTTCAGCTCTGACATGGCTGGAAGGAAGGCCCTGCCTTTGGTGCTATTGGCCTGGAACTTGCTAAGCTTAGAGTAAAACAAGCAGTGGAAACAGGTTTGAATTCCTGGCGAGAGAGGCTGGATAAAGATGGTAAAAAATGGAGGCTTCTCTTTTCAAGAAGAATTCAGATATTTCCTACTCTCCTTTCAAAAAAGGAAGGAACAGAAGCACAAAAGAATGATTTTACAGAGTGGAGTTCCAAAACCAATATGTCAACCACAACACTCAATAAAAGTGTAATAACTTCTGTGCATATCAATGTTCTCATTAAAAAATAGAAACCACTGAATGCAGTTTAAGAATATTCCACTCCAAAAAGATTCATATATCCCTAGCCTTACCCAGATACATAAAAGTGCACTGTGACAATAGATGAGTGATAACATTTTTGTGAAAGGTTTTCTCTTACTGAATCTGGCAGCCAAAAGTATGAGCTTTCTGTTTGTTAGTCAGTTTTAAGAGCTGCATTTGAATACTTCAGCAATGTTTTGAGGTAGGCACTTCCTGGTACAAGTTGCCTTAACAGAGAATCCAAAAAGGAGTATAAAAAAAAAAAAGAGAGAATTTTTCAAAACAGTAGAATAAAAGGTGCTCTTTATCTCTTATTTCTGTGTTTGGAGGTTGCAGCATTTATATTCCATTTATGCAGAGGCAGAGCGTTTTGTGTTGGGATTTTTTTTCTAGCATGTATCACAAATGCTGGATACCAAAGCCTATCCAGAAAGAAGCTTTGTCTTGTTCCATTGTCGAGCACTTGGAAAATTAGGAAATGTCCAAAAGTTTTGTTCTTTATGTTTTGGTACAATAGTATGATTACTTTTTTTTTTTTAAATTATTTTTTTATTTTTTATTTCCAAAGGATTTCTGCATAGTTCAGTGCTTGAGAGAGGCCAGTTTGTGGAATTATTGAAGGCTACAGAAGGAAAACATCTCTGTAAGACACTGGCTTCAGGTCTGGAAATTGTAGAGGATGAGGCAAGCAGACAGAGAGCAGATGGTACCTGTCTTATGCATGGCCAGGAAGGTCTGTCTGGTGCTGAGTGATCAACGTTCACATATGCCCTTAGTTTTGTGTTTCTCAGTCTTCACAGTTCCAACACTGGAAATAGCCAGTGGAAAGGATGTGTACTGAGGGAAAAGGTCTGCAGGTAACATTCCCTCCCAGCGCAGGCATGGGCAGCTGACTTTGGTGATGCTCTCAGCAAGCCAGGGAAATGCAGCAGCAAAGAATGAATAATAAATAACAAATAATAGCAGTGAATGCAACACATGAGTGTTGCTTCACTCTTTACTCTGAATTTAAGTTGGGCGCTGCCCTTGGGACTTGCTTTGAAGAAAATCTCACTGTTTCATGAAGTTTTTTTTATTTCTGAGGGCATTTGTCTTGTAATGTAAGGTGGGAAATCTTTAGCTAAGAGAAGTGTTGTCTTGAATGTGGGAAGAATCAAGCTCAGGAGAGATAAACAGTCTTCCATTCCATCTCTTGATACAGACCAACATCTAAATAATGCTACCGCAGAGAGATGTCTTGATAAATGTCCTTCATTAAAGTCTTCCTTTTCATTTTTCCCAGAGTCTCATTTCTTTCTCTGCTCTAACTCTCATGGCCTCGCTTTAATAAAGCATCCATAGCGTCGGCCAGCTGAATACACCTCAGATGGAGCAAAGTTGCCCCCCTCTCTTTCCCTATCGCCGTTGTCACCCAAGCCCTTTACACAAATGACATTGCACTCTGCAAAGTCACACTCAGGCCCTTGGCATACCCAGCACAGCTCAGTGTGAGCAGCCCTGCTAGCTTGCACTTGTAACCACCCCACCAAGAGACTTTTATGTAGGAAAGTAGTAGATTTCCTCCCTATCATTTCAGTGCACGCTGTCTCTACCACAATAAGGATGTCTTGTCATGGGGATTTGCTAAGCCTGTGGTTATAATTAATCTGCTATTGTCTATAAAGTGACTTGTGAAATGCAGCCATGGAAAAAGTACAACATGGCCTCTTTTGGGTTATGCCAAGAAATGAGAGAGCTTTTTGGATGTTTCCTTTCTTATTCTTTGTACGACAGTGGGGAATTACAGAAGCAAACAAGCCATTGCTGAAGCCGTGTGTTTTGAAAAGGATGTTTCAGGGGTCTGCTGTAGAAATGCAGGTGAGAAAAAGATAACCTTCATAGCTGTACTGAGCAAACTCATGCCTTTTCAGACAAAAGCAGTCCCCTTTCGGACCAGACAGCCAATTTTTTTGAGCGTTCAGTAATTGAAGAGTGGGAATCACTGCATTCATCTTTGCCAACAGTGACGCCATCTGAACATGGGGTTGGTACTTTCAAAAAACAAAACAAAGCATTGAAATACAGAACATCATCACTGTAATTGCTCAGTTATCTGTTGTTGTATGCGCAGTTCATACTCAGCTCTTGACTTTGCCCACTCTTTTTCCCCCCAGTGAGAGCTACAAGAAGCTGGCCTCCCTCATATTTATGTGGGGGCTGAATATTCCTCTTTGACTGGGGTGCTGGGGTTTTGGATGGGACACTGAGATTTTTGAGTAGACCAGTGTGGAGCCAGGAGTTGAACTTAATGATCCTGATGGGTCCCTTCCAGCATAGGATATTCTGTGTTCCTGTTCCATCCCTCCAGAGGGGAACCTCTCTGTCATTCCAGCAGGTCTTACAAAAGCACTATATTAAAATAACAATAAAGTGACATGATCACATGCTCCAAGTTATGTGATGCCAAAAACTACATTTACCTTTGCAGGTTTTGTCCCTCAGTGTTAAATTTCAAGGCTGCACCCTCTTTTTAGTTGTTTTTCATCCCAGATGGGGCATCGTCGTCCTGTCATCCACCTCAACAGAGCTATGGGGATTAAGCCAGGCCTGGTGAGTAATACAGTCCTGGACTGTGCCACCAGTGAGAAGAGCAACACACTGGACATCCTCTGGGCCATCTACCGCCTCCTTTCATGCACATACATCTTATCTTTACCAGCAACATTTTGCTTTCTTCTTATTCCTCCAGCTGAAGTGTGATGCACCTAGCTCAGGCCAGATTTCAGGGTTTTCGGTAGCAATGTGGAGGGTTAGGGTTAGGGTTAGGGTTAGGGTTAGGGTTAGGGTTAGGGTTTCTGGTTCACAGTGACTTACCCCAACTTCACCAGTTAGCAGCCCGTGCAGGTGGAGTCTGTGGAGTTTCTTGCTACAGCTGGTCTCTGAAGATGGCAAATATATTTTCTCCCAGTTTTCTTCTTGTTCTCCACCTGTTTTCTGGGAATTTTTTGAATATTTAATCCTAAGTGGTTAAAACATTACAAGGATGCTTTTATTCCACTTCATATGTAAAACTGTACATGCCATTACCTGATTGCACTGAACACATCTACTGCACCATTAGAAAGCATTAAAGCAAGCAGGGACCATCGAACTCCTAATGATTTATGGCACCAACTCCTGAGCTCTTCTGTCTGTATTCTCACTTGTGTCATTGATGCTGAAGGGTGTAGCCTCAACAAAGAATGCTGGTGCCACTTAAATGAGTGGGTGTCTTCCCATCAACTTCAACACAGTTAAGACTTTTTACCCTTTATCGATCTGTAAAGAGGCAGTAAAGTTCTGTATTACACGACTATCATAAACAGACAGGTAGGAATCTTCTATTACTCATCTCAAAACAATATGCACCTGCCAGGCTGGCTGAGTTATGAGCCCATTCTTGTGAATATACATGGTATACATTCAGGGAGAGTTATGTTTTTGGAATGGCTGTTTAGGAAAATAACGGCGTGACCGCAGTTCTCAATCAAGCCCCTGTGGCAAATTTCTGTGTGACAGGGAGCGAGTCATTAGGTATTAGGCTAGAGAGCATTACACTTTATGTCTCTTTCTGAGATATGACTTGAGTTGGGAGGCGGAGAAATGAAGTGGATCCACGAAGTAGGATTTTAGATAATGGATGGGCCTTGTAATATATGCAATTTGAGAGGCGAGAAGACTGCTTACGCTGACAAGACAACGTATGTGACTAAAAGTGTGGAAATTTGGGTGCTTTGTGGTTATTATCTGTTTGAAGGACAGAAGAAGATGAATCCCCTTGACCTGACAGCACTTTTACAATAGGGTTGTCTAAAACTGGGAGATTACTTCAGCTGGCAGTGTATACTTGGAAGACAGTCTAAAAAATTCAATGTAAAAAATAAGCCTTATAAGCTTTATAAACTGCTTCAGAACCCACTGTTTTATTGATGTCTTAAGAAAATTAAATATATAGCCTTGTGCAAGAATAGTTTCTTAAGCTCCTCAGAACAGTCAAAAGAATATAAAAAAAAGGCAAAAAATAGTAAACCATTAGTATGGTTTTAAACAACATGTGAATCATCTGAAGAGCAAATCAATATGACACCGCACAGCTTCATTTTGAATAGCAGCTTTCCTGCAAACAGAATTAAATAATGTATAAGAAACTGGAGAGTGCGTGTCTGTAAGCTACTGACCATGGTGGAAGGATTTTATAAGGAATAAATGAAGATACTGTTTAACCTAGGAGAGAAATTAAGAGACTCTTGGGGGAAAAGGTGCTATTTTCAGAAACTGAAGAGAACAGAAGTCGACTAAGCAAGGAAGCTTGTGGATTGAAGTGAAGGGCTTTTCTGCTGTTAGTATCAAGGCCACAGGGGAAGAAGAGAGGAGGTGCTAAACCGAAAGAGTGAAGCAAAAGGAGGATCCAAGCCTGCAGATGAAACTCTGAGCTTGGAGACTTTGGAAAAGTAGCAAGGTTATTTCTGAGTGTGTTTTCCTCACACCTGGGCTGCATTTTTTGCTGGGTTCAGATCATTTGCCGTGTCGAGGGTGTATAAATAAAACATAGAGCATAACGCCTGCACAAGGGTCAAGTGAGAGAACACTGTCCATAGCATGCAGGGACTGCAAAACATAAGGAGTCCATAACATGAAGTGAAATGTCCTTGAAGTTTCAAGTTGAGCAAATTGGATGGGCTTTGTAGGCCCTTAGCCAAGGACAGGAATGGACACATTGAGACTACAGGGAGCATTGGAGGAGAAGGAAGAAAAACTTTGGCATGGCTCAAAGCCAGCTCACATTAAGTCTCCATTTATGTCTTCAAACAGGGAATCAAATGCAAAGCTTGACTAATGGAAAGAGATCAAAGTGATTATTTTTTAAATCAGTTCCCTCCCTGCTGGCCTTTGAGCAGCATTCAAGGAGGCAAAGAGCCTCACCAGCCCCAGTGACGGCAACACTGGAGGCGGAACAGAGAATGGAAGGGGCAGAGGGCAGAGAGGCAAAGTGTTTGAAGTTGTTTCCAGTTCTTACAAAGGTTGTGAATATTAAACTTTATTCATTTTTAAACCAATTTAGTTAATCCAGTGCTAATCCCTGTGTAAACACATTGAGAGTTGATTTGAAAGATAGAAATCTGCCTTGTGGTGGAAGACTTAAAGAGCTTGCACTACTTAGTTTGTCCTATAGAAGGTGAAGAGGTGACTTTATTCTTTTCTGCAACTCCATGGATGAAGGAGAGAGCTGATAGCAGATATTTTTATAATCTAACAGAAAAAAAAAAAAAGGTGGGTGGGAGATGAAGGCTAGAAATCAGGTCTGCAGTTTTGCCAGGAGGTCACGAACCAGAGAAATCCAGTGGAGCAGACTGGAATTAGATATCAGGAAGCCATGAAGGCACTTCCTTCTCTTTTTCAACAGCAGGAATAAGTTTGGCACTTAAGGGCATTGTTTCATTGAGCAGCCTGTGTAAAACCCAGGTTGGGTGGTGGTGTTGGCTGGATGAGAATCGTCTTCCACCTTTATGGTTCACTGACTTTTGAAACCAAAGGGCACTCAAGATGAGCGTTAAGCTGTCCCACTTGCACCTGTGTCCCATGGACTTGCAGCCTTTGGCTTTCAGCAGATGAATTGAAACCAGTCAATTTTGGTTTCCCGGTGGCTGTTGAAAGAGCAGGACACAGAAAGATGAATTCTGTCACTGTAGAGCATAACCGTGAAAGTGAGTGAAAAATGGGATGTAGGAGGCCTGAAGTCCCCATAATGAGAAGGAGCTGTTGTTTTTGCAGTTTGAATCTTCTGCCAGTGTTGCTGTACACGTGAGCCTCAACCACATCCAACCTCCAGCAAATTTGAAGGATATATATTCATTTGTCTGAAAATGTATTGGAATGATCAGAAAATCATTAACAGTAACGTGCCTGTCTTGAAAACAGAGGTCTGCCAAATTTCTAGCTAATTTAATCAATTTCTTAACCAGTTTTAATACGTAATAGCACACCAAAAAATTATTTTTGAATTACCAAACCCAAAATACTGCAGTAGATGAGTTGATGAAGTGTAACCAAAAATCAGTGTATGAAACTCTTCATATAGTGTGACATTCTGCCAATTTTGCTTTGGGCAAATGCAAGAGATGCAGCACACAGTGCTTTCCCTGGAAGAGCTCTTTGTGTAGTCAAGCACGCATCAGTAGTCTCTGTTTTGGTACCAAACTTTATAAATCAGCCCAATATGGGTTTGTCCTCTTGAACGTTCCCAGCACCATGTACTTTAATCTCATTATTTTTCTGCCCTTTGATCACTTTGTTGTAGATGAATTTAATTTCTCAGTAACTAATTTACAGCATTGTAAAATGCAGTTCTCCACGCTCATTATAAGGGACTTTACCCATTTTTTTCAGTTAAAGTTTGCCTCCCTCTTGCTTTTCCTTCATTTATGAGTATGTTAATTACTTTCAGCGATATTACTTGGAAACTCATTAATGCATTTTCATTAAGAACATTAGCTTGTGCTGTTTGCACCAGTCACATCCCTTTTGCCACTCGTACTTTTCCCAACTTTGGACAGTGAGGATTTGAGGGACACGTTACAACAGGAGAATTCCCCTGTCACTACATCATTTTCTAGAGACGGATTCGTGGCCGTGGATTCATTTAATGTTCTCCTATTGCATTTTACCAATACTAAGAACAAAAGCCTTAAATGGGTGATGAGGGCTTCTGTTTTTGCAGTACGCAATTTTGAGTAATCGCTACTCAGGCAAGTCCTAGTTGACTGAATGTGCCATTACATGAAAATATTGAAGCCTAAGAATCACATTATTTTCCACTGTCTCCAAGACTCATTTTGGAGCAGCTATTTGGATCCCTGCCACATTGTCTTTAAGAAAAAAAACTGACGTCTGTACTTGTGACATTGTCTAAAATGAATCTTTATCCATGGATTATTAACTGCGTATCCCTTATGGTCAATGGCTTAATTAAATCAGATAATGATGACCTTAAAACTAATTTAGCACTTTCATACACACTCTTTCTGTTTGCTTCATGTCAAATATAGACACGCTGGTAAAATCTTATCCTAGCATTAAGATTTGCAGCATCCTGCAATGAAGCACATGGTTTGCACAATGGAAATTAAATGGAGGCAACTCACTCTGGCACAAAATGTGCCCTGCTGGTCAGTTAACTGGAGCAAAAAGAGCTATCGTGTCACATTATAGTGCAGGTGAGATCTGTTCCACGAGCTGAACAACTGAAGTATATGAACAGTTGCCTGCCTGCTGTTGCTATTGGATATCACTGCACTGATTTGCAAGAATAATCTCATTGTACAGTCATTAATAGAAATTAATTAGAGGAAGACATCTTAACAAAGATGTCCTGAGTCTCTTTAACTTGGACTAAAATGAGGTTTGAGAGGCATGAACGGAAAATAGAACTAGCTTTCTCTGTGCTTTTATCAATGTTTTAAAAGCTCAGAAAAGGCATTAATTACACTATTTACCAAGTCGTTGAATTTGTATGATGTTAAAAAATACATTTCCACCTCTGCTTTTCTTCAGCTTGTCAAGCTGCCTTTCTGTTTTATTCCAGCCTGCTTTCTCTGCCTGTCTATCCTGCCTTCAACTGACACTGCATCATTGCAGCTCACTCTGATGTTGTTGTAGGTACGATACCATCACCAACCAGTGGGAGACCATCGCTCCTCTGCCCAAAGCTGTGCACTCAGCTGCTGCTACAGTCTGCGGTGGGAAGATCTATGTCTTCGGTGGGGTGAACGAAGCCGGCCGAGCTGCGGGGGTCTTGCAGTCCTACATCCCTCAGACCAATTCATGGAGTTTTATAGAGTCTCCAATGATCGGTAAGGGAATCGTGTTGTCAGAGTGAACCCATATTATGACAGAAATCTCTGCGCTTCAGGTATTTTAGTGCCTTTGCAGAAAGCAAATGGGTTGTAGGGAGGGGGATGTGTTTGTAGCAGATTGGCAGGAATGCATGCATTTTATACCAGAGAGGCAATTATCTGGATCTTCAGTGAAGGCAATTGTCACTCATTAATACAGCTAGTTATCAGCTAGAAGTGATGAGTTCAAAGTAGAGGAGAAAGGAAAGATGTTATTAGGTGTGGACAACTAGTAATTTTAGACCCAAAAACTGTGAAGTGCAGTGAAACTTTATCCTAGCATCGTGTGTTGCTCCATGCTTTAAAAAGCACTGCTCAGTTATTGGATTGTTACCCACGTGCCTGTTCAAATTGTTCCTGTCCTGTCGCAAGAGGTGGTCATTCTTAACTGGGATATAGCAGTGGTGTGAAAGGCATAGAGGCTCCAGAGTCTGAATCCTCCAAGACGTGAAGATTATTAAAACTGTGTTTATTAGCATGTGATGCCCTAGAGCTCTCTGAACATTTTACAGGACAGAGCCAGATGCTCTACAGAAGAAGGGTAAGATGAGGGGTCAAATTTTCTACTACCAACCAATTTCAGATGTGCAAACTTCCAAAATGCTTAAAAGATTGCAGTTTATTTGCTTTCTGTGCCAACTTGCACCCTAAGAGCTGAGGCTGCTTTTGGAAGCAAGGTTTAGCATTCAGGCTTACAAGGACATTCCTGCAGGTAACAGCCATCAGGAGCATGTGCTCTGTGCTGGATGGGTGGCTATGGGCAGCTTTCCATCTGGATGTGCCCAAACACCTAAAGAAGCAGCACTTATGCAGTCATTGCAGAGAAGCTTGGAGGCTGCCTTTGTGTCCCAAACCTCTTAGTCATGCTGAAAGGTCATATAATCATAGAATCATTAAGGTTGGGAAAGACTTCTAAGATAACTTAGAACCATTGACTTACCATCAATATTGCCCACTAAGCCACGTCCTTAAGTACCAAGTTGACCCTTTCCTTTCACACCTCAAGGGATGGTGACTCCACCACCTCCCTGGGCAGCTGTTCCAATACCCAGCCATTCTTTCTGAGAAGAAATTCTTCCTACTATCCAATTCAGACCTCCCCTGATGCAACTTGAGGCCATTCCCTCTTGTCCTGTCATCATGACAAATAACGAGTCATGGTCTGAGTGTTCAGCCTGGTAGACCAAGTATGAGTAGGAAGTAATAAATGACACAGTATACAGTTATGAGGCATTCAGGCCACCTAGGCACATTCAGAAAGCTAAAACAAGCTTGTTACTATTATTATGACTCTCTTCTCAGTGTTTCCTAGTAAAAGAAATCACGAGGCATTGGTGTGGCCACAGCTGGAGCCTCCCTGGTGAAGGCAGCACTGCTTTCCAGCTCCCTTGCTGCTGTTTGTGTCCAGCCTAACATAACATGACATGCATATGATGCAGCATGAAGCGCCCAGCGGGAGGGCGTTAACCAGCAAAAGTCGTGTTTCTGTAATACAGCAGTGCAAACAAACCTATTGCCTGGCTTTTTCCATCACAAAGCTACAGCTGCCACTGTTCATTTAATCCACTGACTGACAGTATGAGGTTTTCCAGTTCTCAGAGCGTACTGCAAAAATGAATGCATTATGCAAAGAAGCGTTCCTTTTCCGTACCAAGATAGTACAAGTGCCAGCCACAGAGCTAAGCAATCATTCCCTGGACTCATTATACTGTCTAGCAGGCATCAACACCACTTGTATTTGGAAAAATCATCCAAACCATCCAGAGGTGAGTTTGTCACCAGTCGATATAGCAGATACGTATTATCATTTCCTAACAAAAATACACAAAAGTGAAGTTAGAAGACGGTGCTTCTGTTTTCTCAATGTAAATAAAGTTAATTAGTTAAGTTGAAGTCTTAAAATATGTGATGAAATGTGGAGTTGCTGTGTGTCTCTGTTGGGAAATGTGTAATACCAGATTATTTGCAAATAAAGTAAAACGTGGGAGAAGTGGAGAACCAGTGGAGAATATCCGGAAAAGTGAGCTGATATGATTCTTCTTCTTCTCTAAAAATGCTTTGGGAATATTGGAATACATTTTTATTCCACCAGCTCTACAAGAAGCAGAGTATCACCTGTGCTTGCAGAGTATCCCCAAAGAGCTGAATGATACTCCATGATACTCCATGATACTCCATGATACTCCATGTGCAGTGCAGGCAACCTTTACTTAAAAGAAAGAGGGAGTAGGAGGCTTGGAGTACTTTTTAGAAAATGGAGATGAGGTGAACTGTGTGATTGCTGGTGTGCTCTCGAGATCCTCAAAGCTTTTTTGTGCATGTTTGTGAATTCTTAAGGTGTCCCCCTGGGCTAAATAACCTGAGACATCTGAAAGTGAGTTGTGTGGTTTAAGATCACTCCAGAGATCAGTGAAACCTCTTTGACTTCAAATAGTTTAACAGGTTATTTAAAAACACCTCAAGCATGCTCAAATATGCAACAGTAGATGCAGGTGTTGAAAGTACCTGAGGTGTCTGGAGATCTTTAGGCTGGTGTTACCTGCTCAAGTCACTGTGGCATTTTGCAAATGTCAGCAAGCTGAATGCAGCATGGCACGTGATTGAACCCGATCAACACCCAAGGCAGTGCTGGCATCAACCGTAGCAAGGGAAAGGGTCATTTTAGGATAATATTAATAGAGGTGAAGCAGGCTGGATACTGAAATCTTGTCTGTTTAGAGGTATGGAGTGGGGACCCGTAGCTCATCTACTCAGCCTAGCCCTTGCCCTCTTCTGCCTGCCTTTCTCCTAGGAATAAGCATTGAATCCAGCCCCAGTTTCCATTTATTTGTAGCCCACATGTGCCGTGAGGTGACATGAAGTTGCTCCACTTCTGTTCTCCCAATATGTGGAGGCAGCAGATGTTCCTTCAGAAACACAATCCACAACTCAATGTTACTCAGATAGAGGAGCATCCCAGGCCTTTCCCACTGCACAGTTCTGGTAAACCACCGTGCACCACACCTCTTCTTGCATTTGGAGCTGTTAGAAGTTTGTTGCTGTTGAGCCAAAGTCCTACAACAGTAAGTGAAGCCAGGCTGCATCCTTGCAGTGCCTGCCTTTCTGTACCTAGACCGTTGGCTGACTGCTAAAAATACATTTCTTGCCCAGCTTCCTAAGTTTGGTCACAGAATCACAGAATCACAGAATCACCTGGGTTGGAAGGGACCTCAAGGATCATGTAGTTCCAACCCCCCTGCCCAGCAGGGCCACCAAACACACACATTCAGATCAGGTTGCCCAGGACCCCGTCCAACCTGGCCTTGAACACGTCCAAGGACGGGGCATCCACAACCTCCCTGGGCAGCCCGTTCCAGGGCCTAACTACTCTCCTTGTGAAGAACTTCCCCCTAACATCCAACCTAAATCTTTCCTCCTTCAACTTTGATCCATTTCCCCTAGTCCTGCTGTTATCAGCCCTTCTGAAGAGTTTACTCCCCTCCTGGGTGTAGGTTCCCTTCAGGTATTGATAGGCTGCAATGAGGTCGCCCCGCAGCCTTCTCTTCTCCAGGCTGAACAAGCCCAATTCCCTCAGCCTGTCCTCATAGGGGAGGTGCTCCAGCCCCCTGGTCCTATTTAGGAAGATAGCAATAGGCATGCTGAAGCCAGTGATTGTAAGTAAACCTAATTATCTCGTCACTGCATCTTAGTTCATGTTGTGTCTTCATATCAAGGCACTAAAATACAGCTTTGCTGGTACTCTGAGCAGTCTGTATCTGTACCGGTGTAATTACAAGTTTTGATTAGTGCTTCTGAATTTTTTTGAAAACAGTGTTTCTTCATTGACACTACTAAATTCTAAAACCTACTGAGAACTATGGGAACACACAGGACAAAGATCTACGAGCATTTCTGGTTTCTAATCCACATGTCCAGTTCTTCCCCATACTATTCACTATTCAACTGAAATGGGACAACCACAGAGCTAAGAATGCAATAAATATATGGAAAACAGTGTTAGCAGCATCTGCACATTTCTATTGCTCTGTTTGATATCTTAAGTTTTGTTAAAATACATAATGAATCATTCCCATGTTCCCAAAGGTAGGCCCACCAGGCCCTCCCCTGGAGCACACTTGCCCACCAAGACATTCCTCAGCCTGCTGTCTCCTGTGTCCTCAATCCAGAGAATGCAGACATCCCTGCCCTATGATAACAGCCCCATGCCAGAAAGGCTGATGTCATCCAAGACCTTGCTGCTATATCTGCACCTCAGCCTCCCAAGCTGTGTGGAGGATCAGACCACAGTCTCACAGCTGCTGAGGGACACAGTCTTATCCACAGCTGTGCCATTCTTGAGCTTGTCTGCATAGTTTCAGGGATGGGAAGAGATACTATTAAAAGCAGAATTAGCTTCTGTTAATGAGTCTCCTTTCTCTAGTGTGCTTCACCATGTGAACTGATGTCCTTCCTGCAGCCTCCTGTGCCTGCAGGGACACCTCTGGTTGCAGCCGAGTCGGGACTGGTGGCACATTGGCGTTTCTTCCTCCTTCTAAAAAAGTTTGGCTGGTTTTGTTTCATAACCTGTTTCTATATGGAGCATTGTCTTCATGCCACTTTTGTCTCTGACGGTGTGCTTTACTGGAAAGCAACAAAAGATCTTTAAGCAATCGTGGATGGGAAAGCAGAACTATGGTAATTGACCACATAACGTACCAAGAAATCTGAGAGCCACAAAACACATCACAGACAGCATGCTGCTGTTACGAATTGAGCACACTGGCAGGTTAAATTATAAACCCCATGTGAAGTGCACCTACAGCTCAAGGATTGTCTTTGAGTGCATACCCCTTCCTGCAATGACCCGTCTTGAGAAGAATAGAAATACTTACCTATTTTCCTACGGCAGCAGCAGAAGAGAATGATGTTATGATATTATCCACTTGGAGAGAAGAGTATCTTTTATCTATTATTTCCTTTACATTTACTCTGCCTTTTAATCTCAAGAATGCTTGCTGTCTTGGACAAATCTCATTTAATGTTTTCCAGCCTGAAGTAGATTGCCGTGTCTGACAGCCCCAGCATTTGAATTTTGGAAGGGAAAGGAGGTTGTATCTACAAAGCCTCAGTTCCCATATTCCCAGTCCTCTGTCCCTTAGGACCTGGTGTGACACCCAAAAGCGTTGACCAAAAACATGCTTTTGCTAAATTGAGGTCCCCCAGCACCTTGCATTATTACGAGGTTCCAGACCATCAGTGGATGGTCTGTAAGGCTGGAGACTCCTGGGTGCTTTCACAAGGTGCTTTCACCAAGCTCTGGAAAGGACAACAAAGGAAGGGCGGTGAGGTGAAGTAAGGTTGCAGACTGAAGGTGGGCATCCACGCTTAGTTGGTAGTTTCCAAGCTCCCTTATCTGTCTAAACCTGTGGCCTCCATGGTAACAAAAGAGAAGTAAAACAGTGTTTTCTCTCTACTCATGCCTAGAGGGGTGTCTCTTGTGTCTTTCTGCCATATCTACATCAGGATCAGGACACTGTGGATTTCTCCCTTCTTGAAAGAAGCAGCAGAGCTGTCTCTGTGTCTCAGTCCCAGGCTCACTTTATACCAATTTATGAAATTGCAGCTAAAGCCAGAAGTACTAAAAAGACAACAGATAGACAGTGTCTTGAAAAATTGATGAGAATCAGGCACGTTTGCCTCTCAAAAGAAGAAAGAAAAAGCGTATCAGTCTGCTCATTTGAAAAGAAAAAAAAAAATCACTATAAAAATAACCAAGGGGGTTTCCCTCTTTTACTTTGACAAAAAGGAACGTGCAGTCAGTGATTCAGTCTCCTGAGAAGTCGCTGCTTCTGCCTTGAGGGAGCCCCAAATAATTTCCCTGTGAGATTTGGGAGTTGAGCTCTTTTTTTTCTTTTTCTTTTTTTTTTAATGTGATAGTTTTATTCTCCTGCAAAATAGTGCTGGTGGGAGGGGGAAAAAAAACAGCCAGGAGAATGTGATAATTAAATATGGAGAACTTCTGATGAGTGTCTTAGCTGGAAAAAATGTCACATATGCAAGTCTGATTTGGAAAGGGATGCAAGACGGGTTGTTAGGACAGATAAGTCTTTCTGATGAATTATAGTGGCTTAGTGGCACTGAGAAGAAACTGAATATTCCTTGTTCTATTTTCTGGATGAATTAGTTTCTTCCCATCTGTTCCCAAGGATCAGTGACATTTTCCTAATGCATCTGTGTTTTTTGACATATGCCTGTAGATACTGAGAGTAATAGGAGCCCAGCTTACCCCATAACGTGTTTTGTCTGTGCTGTAGGCCCACACCTCCCCCAAAACCAAACCAGACAACACCACAGCCAAGCTGGAACAGAAGAACACCGTAAAATCATTGTTATTTTCCTTCCAGCTTAGTAAATTCAACCCCCAGTTAAGGAAATTACCATTCTTCTGGACACGTCCAGCAATTTCTGCTTAACTCTGGTCAAATTAAGTCTCTCGTTAAATATTTAATGGAATCAGATGGTTATAAAAGTACCTCAGGGTTACAATGCCAGCCGGGCAAGAGGTAAGAAAATGCCAAAAGTAAAGCCCAGCAGGGTTGATTTGAGCCCACTCCTTTTGTTGTTTGTAAAAGAGAACAGAGGATCCCAGACGTGGGAGGAACACTCAGAGCCCTTGGATGCTACATGGAGGCTGTTAGCAGTGAAGTAAAAGCACTGTAAGGATGGAGCTCTCCTCTCCAGTGTGTTGTCCTGCATGCCCCATCCTTGACCAGCAGCATGACATTCCGGCTGATTCCCCACTGGTGATGCAAGAGAGTTGTCCTTTACTGAGCATACACCTACCTGCATGTTTTGGAGATGCTTTCTATAACTACTTACAGAGAATTTGTATAGGAAGACCAAAGGATGTGTCCCCTAGCACTAGGACAACCATCTAGGAAATGCCTGCTCTGAAGGGCTGCATTTTTAGAGAACTAATTGTGAGACATATTTTCACTCAAATGAAGCAATGTACTCCCATCTTTTGTTCCCAGACGCTGCTGATTGGTTTCACTGAAATGCTGATGAAAAAAAAACTGTATCGCATTAAGACAGACACCATCATGAGAAATTTCAGCCCAACTGGCTCCTGGTTAATAACGTGCATATGGCGTGATAGCAGCATACGGGACAAGTCAACTAATTAAATTACAAGGATTTTATTTGATAAATTATGCTTAGTTCTACCAGTTTTTGTAATAATGCTTCCGCTAACACAGAAGTTTTAAAGCATCCTTGGAAATTCTGATTGAGCTTAGGATAAGGCACTTCCTTAATTTCACAACTCAGCTTCGCACGGTTCATTGCTAATGTACAGGACTGTTTGGAGATACTTCTCACATCTAAACAGAGAAATGCGGGTGAATTTATGAGACAGAAGGGGAGAAAAAGTTGGGTCTCAGAAAGCCTTCTGGATTGTGTGGGTGACCTTCCCAAGAGCTAAAGTAGAATACAGAGGAGAATCAACTTGTGAATATTATTAAGTGGGACTCTGCACTGTGGGATTCTTCTGTACTTAGCTACTTAGGAAGCATCTGGGTTAAAATTTGCAGCAATTCAGAATTCTGAAACAACTTGACATCTTAATTTCATATGTAAGAGTGGTGCTTTCACAGTGATTCCGTTAGGCTTTGAGAGAGGATAATTGTACTTTCCCAGTTTAGAGGGAGGTGTGTACTGGGGAATGAAGGACTGATGAACTTTAAAAGTGCCTTTGAGAACTTTGAGAGAGAAGAACAAAAGCAGGAAAGATTTCCTCATTTTTCTTTCCCTAGCCTTGGAGGTTTAGAGAAACGTGACTTATCTATAAATAAGGGGAATGTATAAATAAAAAACAGTCTCCAAACCTGAGCCTAAAACTGATCTCAGTGTTGCTTTCCATTGACAGATAACAAATATGCTCCTGCAGTCACTCTCAATGGGTTCATCTTTATTCTTGGAGGAGCTTATGCACGAGCAACCACCATCTATGACCCAGAGAAAGGCAATATTAAAGCAGGTCCCAACATGAACCACTCCAGGCAGTTCTGCAGGTGAGAAAAACCCTTCAAATCGAATTACCAGTGCCTTAGTATTTTCTGCTGCTAAATAAACTAATACTGCCTAATAGTGAAGGGGAAAGGGGAAAGGTGAGTACCGTCTGGGGATTTTCCTCTTCCTCGTGTTTAGGGACGCAGCATTTTCCAAAGTACTCTTCTAGCACCCTGTTATGGTTCTTGCATCTCCTCGTATTCAGGCACCATGGATCAAGGGAGGGAAATGCCTTGGGCTTCTGTAGCAGACCACAGTCACCTTGATTTGCTCAGTTTGCCATGCGTAAGCGGAGGAGGATCAGTACACGCTATATTAGACTGCCATCATGTGGGATTGGTTGTTTGCTAACTAGCCAACAGAGACCTGAAAGGAAAGAATACTGAATAAGCACCACACACTGATACTAATTATTATTTATTATGTATCTTTGATTGCTTTTCGGGCTCACTGCTCTGATCCCAGTCACAGGTTTAACAAACTTCCCAAACTGGCATACGAAAATAAAACTTGGCACCCATCACAGACACTGGCAGGACTTAAAGGCCTTTTCAAAAGTATTACGTTACCATTACAGAGAGCAGAGGCTGGCAGCTCTCAGGCAGTGCTCAACGCCAGCCCCTCACAGAGCAGTTACTGGCCGAGCTGTCCATGTCGTGCTGGCAGCCATCACGTGCTTGGCGAGGGCTTGGTATTTATTTCCATGGCAGCAGCATCTCGAGGCACTGAGCAAAGCTATGGTTGGAGGGGTTGTGTCCCCTCCATGGGCGTGGACGGTGCCATAGGGCAGCTGCAGGGCCCCACTCCTTAATGCAGGGGCTTTTCTAACATCTGCCCTACAGCTGGAAAACGCCTCTTTGGTTCAGTCTTCTGCTTTAGTGTCTGTTTTCTTCAAAGACTGAAAACCATAAATAAAAGACAGTATAGCTAATAGCATCACCACCACAGTTCAGAACCATAGTCACAAGATTTTGGGATCATAGCCCTAGACAGCAAAATGTAACATGAGGGACCTTTGTGCATTTTTGCTCCATTCCTGTATCTTGCTAGAGAGAGGGATGCACTGCTCTTTGAACATCTCTGTTCTGTAAAACATAGCAAATATCTGTTAATTAGGCATCTGTTTGTAACACACCACGAGAGAAATTGCTTAACTGCGGGTGATTTCAGCCAGGGAACGTGAGCTGAGCATCTCGCATGACCACTTCCAGAGATTTCTAACATGGAGGAATGCTTTGTCTGCACCCAGCAGAAAGCAACCCTCATGATTGACCAAGGAGGGTTAACCAGTGACTGTTAGCTGCTGTTTCAGTGCCACAATGGTGTTCCCAATAGACTGGCTTGGCTTAAGCAGAAGGTGGCACCCATCAATAAAAAGTAACTGCAACATTTTTAAATATCTTCTTTTTGTTCCAAAGCCTAAAGCAACTGTCAACATGGTGGACCAGAAACCTACATTTACAGTGGAATAGTCACCATTGACAGAAGCAGTTCAGTTCAGTTCCTGAATAACAAAAAAAACCCATCATTTCTGAAATTATTAAATCAAAAGGAGACATGAAAGCTGCAACAAAAACAAACTAAATCAATATACATGGAAATAGGGGAAATGGGAGCTTAGCAGTAACAAATACAAAAAGTACAGGTTAAAAACAGGCTGCTGATAAAAGCAGCTGTGGAAATCAATGGGGTGCTGAGGGCCAAGAGGAGAAAAAGCAAAGCACTTTTAGTGTGTCGTTTTAGTCAGTTCTAAATACATAGGTCGCTCCAAAATTAATGCCTCCTAGTTATTTCCACATGGAAATTGCAACAAACACAAAGAGCACACTAACACTTTTTGATAGAGCAAATTGTCAGCTACCAAACGCTATTTTTCTACACAGTCACCACTTTAGCTGTGCATTTTTACAAGCGATGAACAAGAGCCTGCATGCCACACTCATGAAAATCAGCATCAGTGTTTCACAGCTGCTGTGATGGTTTTGTTGCTAGGAAAATGTTGCCCACACAGTCCATCTTTGATCAGCCCAAACATACAGAAGTCAGAAAGCACCAAATCCAGATTATACGGTGGGTGTGGTAGGGCAATCCAGCCAAGACTTGCAATGTGGCAATGTGTTCCCCAGTCTTCAAACTGATACAGGATCTGGCATTATCATGTTGCAAGAGAAAGATTGTCTTCTTCTTTGGTCTGACTCTGGAAGTTCCAATCTTTAGCTTAGTCAGTGTCACGATGTAACAGCAGAGTTGATGGTTTGTCTGGGTTCCAGGAAATCCAGAAAGATCACCCCTTTCATATCCCAGAAGACAGTGCACATCACTTTACCTGCAGAGAGCTGCATCTGGAACCTTTTCTTTGATGAGGAATTCATGCTGCCACACCAAGAACTGCTGTTTCGACTCCAGCTCATACTGTTGACACCACATCTCATCACTGGCAATGATATGTTCAGGAAATCATCACCTGCACCCTCATATTGGGTCAGTAGGTCCTAACAAACTTGCGCACAGAGTTCTTTCTGTTCCTGTGTAAGCATTCATGGGACCCACCTGGCACAGCCTTTGCGATATCCCAACATTGCCACGATCATTTTCAACACACTGAGGTCAACATTCTGCTTTGTACACAGTATCCTGATCATAATCTACCAACGTATGTGGATGAGCTGATTAAGACACTCTTCATTTCGTGGTGTTACAGCTGTGCATGGCTGTCCTGAATGTGGCTTATCTTTTGTGTTGCTGTCACCACTGCTGAAATGCACCAACCACCATCTCTCTGTGCTACATTCGCTGTTTGGTCTCCTTAACTGTTCAACAAGTGGGTGCCATTCTGGAGGAATTCAGTGACACAGCTTTGCTTCATACACACTTCCATATCAGGCACCATTCTGTCCGACTGCCTCTCTGCTGCCATGTGTCACAAGGCAACAAAATGTGACTGGATATTGGTGGGAAGGTTCAGCCTCTACTGCCATTCCACCAGCATCCTCTGATGTCTCTGCAGCCTCTGATGTCGTGGGCTGACATAATGAAATAGGAGACATTATTTTCGGAGCCGACTTCGTAGATGAGACTGCTGAAGTAGCGAAGTGTCAAACTGAATGATCTGACGGATAGTTTGTGCTTGCATTTGGACCGAAGCAAGCAGCTTTGGTTCCATCATATACTGTGAATGGACCAACAGTGAAAAAGGTCAGCAATTAAGTAGTCAAAGCAGGCAAGCTGGTCGCGGTTCACCCAGGCCCCTTTACAGCCTTAGCAGAGAAGCTGTTTGAACCACCGCTGTTGATTTGTAACAGCTCTTACAATTCAGGGGGATTCAGGTGGATCGGGGCACTGCCGAAGCTTTTCCTGTATTTTGAAAAAGGTGAAAGGCAGATTTTTAGTGTGGCAGTTAATTTTGCAAAGAATCGGCAGCAGGCTAAGTGGTCTCGCATTTAGTCTGATGTTGGTCCTTGGACGAATAGCAGAGAGGTTAATTTGGGATTTCTTCAACAGATAACTAGATACTAATAATTAAATGAACAGCAATCAATGCGTTTTCCTGGAAAACAGGACTTTGTCAAGCAAACCTTCTGTCTTTCAGTTTTGGGGTGGGAGTTGGGTTCTTTGTTTTGTTTTTTAATAAAACACGCCTGGCTGCTCAAGACAACTGTGGAGCTGTAATGTACTGCGATTTCTCCCAGGTATTTGGCTGGTATTACATGGAATTAACACGGCACACATTAGAGAGATTAAATCTGCTTCACTGACAGATCTCAAAATGTAGTTGTTAATGAGAAGATATCATTGAGAAAGGCCATCAGCAACAAGCATTAAATCTTCTTCAGTGCTAGGTAATATTTCTACCAGCGATCCAGGTAATAGAAAAACTCCCCTGGTAAGGTTGCAGGTGGTGTAACATTTGGTGGGGTTACAAATACTACAGAATGAGCAATATCTGCATGTCCCAGTTAGGCAGTCTCAAGCTAGCAGTGGTGGTGTAAATGCAAAGCAATGCATTTAAGAAGCACAGTTGCAGCTGCACCTGCCCAAACTCCCTTTAGAAAGCCACGGAGGAGGAGCTAACAGAGGCTGCTCAGAGCTGCACAATGTGAGCTCTCACTGCAATGCTGTGGATAAAAGTCAGTGTGATACTGGATGTAGCACATGAGCTGTAACAGAGGAATGAGAACAAGTTGGGAAGAGGAAGCAGTGCTGTATTGCAAACCATAGGGGCTGGAAGGGACCTCTGGAGAACATCTAGTCCCTAGAGAAGGTTGCACAGTAAAGCATCCAAATGGGTTTGAGTTGCTCCAGGAGATTCCACCACCTCTCTGGGCAGCCTGTTCAGAGCTCTACCACCCTCACAGTAAAGATCTTCTTCGTGTTCATATAGAGCTTCCTGCGTTGCAGTCTCTGCCCATTGCCCCGAAAAGAGCCTGGCTCCATCTGCTTGACTGCCATCCATTAGACATTTATAAGCATTGCTAAGATCCTCCCAGCTTTCTCTCTTCACACAAAATATATGAATTTTTATACGAATTTTAAGGAGTTATAAAAGAAAAGCTGAGAGGTTACTCAATCACTGGGAGCAAGTGGAAGAGCTTTCGGTCTCAGCAGATGAAGGCACAGTGGGTTACAAGGGCCAGAAAGTGACATTATGCATCTGAGCCTTCCAGCAAGGCACTACACTACCAGCAATCAGACAGCGAGCCGCCGGGGCCGAGCACACCACCACGGTGTTTGTATGAGAAGATTAGATGTGCTCCCAACAGAGAGGCTGCCTGGGGAAAAGTCTGTGGCCTTATACACAAACTGAGAATGACTGCGCGCTGAGGTCCCTCCAGACCTCAGTCTCTGAGTCTACAAATTCCTCATTCCTCTCATTAGCTGGGATCACAAAAACACGCTTTAAAAGCAGCAACATAAACAACTTAAAAATTAACCATGTGCTATTGATCTCCTCTCAACAGGAATCACACACCACCAAATTTGCTGGGAAAATCTTGACCGTATCACCTCTGTTCTTACCTGCACTGCTTTTACATGATAAGTGGGATTGCTTAGACAACAGGGAAGATAAATGCACGTGGTATTCCCTGCGTAGCACATGTGAAAACAGAGAGGTCCATTGGAACTGTTTTAATATCCAGCTAAATTGCTCTTAATGAAAAACTAAAAATAAACAGCTCAGATCTCCAGCTCACGCCTCTCCTGAGCACCCACTTTCAGGTTGAGCCTGGTCTTGTGGAAGTGGGTAAGAATCTTTCAGATTGGAAAGGAGCACTAAGACCATCAAGTCCAACCACCTACCACCAATGTTGTTCACAAAACCATATCCCTCAGTGCCACGTCTCCACGTTTCTTGAACACCTGAAATTCGTGTTGACCTAGAATCAACCCATTGAGGGATGCTGCCAAGCGGGCAAAGCGTGCTAAAATGCCATGGCCAGTGTCTTGACGGGGCACCTTGAAGGGTACGTGGGGGCCTGAGCTGGGCAGCCTCCCTGTGTGGGTCAGGGCTGTTCCTTCCTGCAGTGCCCTTCAAGGGGTTATTTTTCCACAAGCAAAAAGAATACAGAATGCATGCCAGCGTATCATTAAAAATTCCATCTCCTGCTTGCTTGGAATGCAGGCAGCGTGCACACAGAAGTGCGCTACAGCGATCCTCCGCGGGGGAACGGCGGCAGCGTGGTGGTGCCAGCAATAATTCCAGAGCAGCTAATTTAGTACCAGCAATTCCCAGTAGGTACCAGAAAAGCATTTTCTTCCTCCTCCTCCTCTGTTAACCAGCAAGATTTATTAGATTGGTTCTGCCGAATGGAAATCTTTAATAAAACTTAGAGTGGGGCTGAAAAGTACAACAAGAACAGGGTTCGTTTGTGAATGTATTTTATTTTTTCCCTCTCCTTTCTAAATAAGCCCTTGTTCTTGAAGCACGGTGGCTCCTGTGCTTGCTGATGTATGGCACTGGCTGCAGGCTGATTCATTTCCTTGTTGCAAAGTTTGCGGTGACCTGGGGTGCTGGCTGGGTCAGATCACAGCTCGTGTGGGCAGCTGCTCCCCAGTGATGTTATTACACAGCTCCTTAATGGCCACGCACGTCTCGAGGCCACAGATGCGCCGCTCTCGCAGCACGCAGCGCTTGCAGTTGGGCCAGAAGGGAAAACCTACATCTTGCAGCACGTCTGAAGGAGATGTGTGGCTGGGACTGCGTGAGGCAGACAGCTGATGGGAACTGCAGCACCAGGCTAATAGCAATGATGGCTGCAGCAGCTTGCGACACGAAGGATTTCTGTGTGCATTAAGGCGTAACTGATACATACAGAGCACTTGAGCCATTACTGATGTGCAGCGGGCTTTGGAATAAAACATTGCTGGTTTTCAGCAACAAGTAACAATGCCACACAATGGTTTTGGATCATTAGCAGGGGAAAGTGCTCACGGAGTACGGGAGAGTCTAACTGGAGTTTGGCCAAAACACTCACACTAATAATCCTGCTCCAAGAAGTGGCATGATAGCCTTCTAATTGCCCATGACTAATCTGGACCCTCGTTTATCCGTCTCATTGTAAAGCTGACACCCCTGGCAGCCCGAGCTCGAGCTTCTTGCGCATAACAGCCCAGCTGCTAACTGACCACAAAAAGCTACGAGCTCATGACAGCGCTTTGGCACCCTGAGCACAACGATTCACCACCCTCCATCTCACAAACGCTCAATGGGACAGGCCACTGCAAAGCAAGAGCTGCCCTCCTTCGTTAGACCTTTGTGAAGACTGAGGGCAGGAAAGAAATTCATCCACTAATAAACACTGAGATTTTTCTCTGTCTTCCAAGCAAAATTCCATCGATAAATCTGATAATATTTAATAACGTTTTTGCATCTGTTTAGAATAAATCAGTGACTCCTTGTGCACACAGGCACAAGTGAGGCAGGAAAGGAGCTTTGTTTGCAGCCTCAGAACATATTAAGTCTTGGTGAATCAAAACAACATGCTAATTCAGCTGCTTCAAATCTGTTTCACAACTCCAGACAAGACAAGATTCTTTCTTCTTTTCTTTTCTAAGAGTTCCTGATAAGGCTGATGTGATCTTTCGTACTAAGCAGGAAATTTTAAAATAACAATAACAAACAAAATGAACAAACTTCTCTGGTACTCCCTCCACTTGGTGTTGTTGTAATGCCATCGATATTACGAGAGAGATGTGTGGGAGCTGGAGTTTCCAGGCATCCAACCTCACAAATGCCAAGAGCTGAGGCACTGATGTGGAATCACAGAATGGACTGGGACAGAACAGACCTTAAAGTCCACTCATGGCAGGATTGCTCCTCATCAGATCAGGCTGCCCAGGGCCCCATCCATCTTGGCCTTGAACATCTCCAGGAGTTGGACATCCCCAGCAACTCCATCAGGAGACTTTTAATGAAAAGCAGAGGGCTCACAACACCCTCCAGAGGAACAGTGCCACCAAACCATGGCAGCTCATTCCACCACTGGCTCTGTAGCCAGGGCTCCATGCTGGAGTGTGATACAGGGAGGGTTCACAGGGACATCAATTGGCAGAGCAGCAGACAGCAAAGCTGGTGATCCCATGTGATCAAATATACTTTTTAAAAAGCAAAGTCAATGATTCATTTTACCCATCAAGTTCTTGAATGGCCAGCTGTCACAGAGATCATCTCTGCCACCTGTTTGCTTAAGCTGAGACACCATCCTTTCAGGTACCTCAGCTGCTGTTAGGATCACGGTGCACAGCTTCACAGAGGTCAGCAGACAGGCTGGACTAGAGGTGGCTGTGTCAGGGGACAGTCATGGTGTGGTCCTCTGTTGTCCTTATGGTTTGGGCAGTCGCAGTTGCTACCTTGGGTGAGTTGGCTGCAGGGCGATAGGTGAAGGCTCTACAGCAGTAATTATCTGGGGAGTAGAAAAGAGGGCTATAATTTGCAAAATGCTGAAACATATTTTCCTGGAAGGCATGGATAAAGCGACCTCCATTCCAATGACCATTACCTTCACCCAGGGCACGCTGCTGGACTGGAGCAGGTCTGGCTGCTCTTTAGCTGGAGAGGTCACTGCTCTGGAGCTGCTGGGGGTTTGTGTCTTCCACAGCAAGGTTACGTGGTGCGGAGCTTCGTTCCTGCCCAGGTTCTGACAACCCATAATCATTTTATCTCTCAGTATTAATGGCACCGAGCAATAAACTTGCATCCTAATTATTGTAATTATTTCTTTCTTCGTACGTCAGCCTCAGTAATGATGGTTTTACAGCCGATGGGGTGGAAGGGAGAAAAGAAATATTGTCACAGTAATGAAGAGAGAGCAATGAGCATTCTCCTTTCCACTCACTTTCCTTAGGGTTTTGAAGCCCACTTGAGTTTCCTGCCCCCTAAAGTCCCAGAAATTAACAGTGATTGCCCTAATATTGGAAAGTAGCGGTAATCTAGGACTCAGTTTCTAACTGACCTTAAGTACCTGCCTCCTGCTTTAGCCCTGGAGGTGCCTGAATATCTCCACATCTCCTGCACACGTAAGTATTGGCTGCACTCTCCAGAACTGCCTATTTCTTGGTAGCAGGAGGAGCTCCCAGGCTTGGCTCACATGCTAAGTGCTATGCCAGTCTTAGCTGTGGGAATTGTGAACTCTCATCACCATTAAAAATTCATAGTCTTTCAGAGGGTAGAGTTCAGCACCCATTTCTTCCCCAAAGCATCAGCACCATCGTCAGAGGCTGCAGTGTTCAACTGCTGTTCTCAGCAGTCGTTTGATGCAGTGCTGTGGCCCAGGCGGAGGATAAGAGCTGTGTTTGCCCACTCACTGTCACCCCAAATGAAGAATCCAGGCTGAGGATGACCTGGGACACAGAGAGCCCAGGGAAGAGGTGCTGCAGGAACTGGAAAGGCCTCTGAGCTCAGAGTTCCCTCTGCCCATCTGTCCCCATCCAGACCAAGTGCTCCCTTCCAGCTTCCTTGGGCAGAGGGCAGCAAGTACAAGACAGGCTCCTGCAAGTCACAGTCAGCCGGGGGTTGACTTCTGAGCTGGTGTGAGACATTGGTGTGCCTGTACCAGTAAATTGCAATTCAGCTCGGGATCCTCATGGGCACCATTCATCAGCACTGATGAAATACCCCAGGCCCCAGCTTGCTCTCTCTTACCATTTCCCCTTATTTATGATTCTGCATCCAGATCTTAGGGATGGTTTTGGTTTTTTTCAGACATGCGTTTGGTTTTCATGCTTAACCCAACAAAGTTGCTGAATTCATCCATTTAATATTTTTTTCTTCTGCTTTTGTTGAGGAATAACAATGCAAAGACGGAAAAGCACATCATTACAGAACCACTGCAACAAAACTGTGCTGTAGTGCAGCCCGTTCCTGACACTGGGTCTTCCTCCATCCCACCCCAAAAATATCTTAGTCCTAAACGTGGTTTCATTCAGGATTTTCTGGGCAGCTCTGCCTGCACTCCCTCTATGCCACGAAGGACGCCAGGCCCCAGCACAGCCCTGCTGTCTCCAGCTCTGCCTCTTCTGGAAATGGATTTATTCTTCTTCAGAGCCATCTTTCAGGATGACACTTGTTTTCGTCAAGTCCTTGTTCTTCCCAATTTCTCCCTGACGTTTCAAAAATAATTACCAGTGGTTCAGTAAGTTCATTAGCAAACTCCCTTAAGACCCTGGGCTATGTATCATCCGGCCCTGCTGATTTGTGGATAGGCTCTAATCAAGTACTTCAAGCCTCTCTCACCCTCCTCCTCCTTTCAGATTAAGTTATTTTGACAAGATTCTCATTATTTCCCATTTCCTGGTGGTATCCAGGGACTAGGCTTATTTGAGTCCTCACTGTTGTCATTGCGGGTTTATTTTTAACCTACAGCTCTGCTTCTTTCACAAGGACATCAGACTTTTGCATTCTTTCGAAACATTTTTTTTTCCAGTGCTGCTGTAATCTCAGTTCATCCTGAGTCTTAGAGAACTCTGGCTTTTGCCTTTGTCACTTTTCGTTCTTCTTCTTCCCACTGTTTCAAAAACAGCCAAGAGACATAAATTTACCAAGACTTAAGGGTTCACCACCCTTCTGCAGATTCTGAGATCAAGGCCCCCTTCTTCACTGCAGTGAATTTGTCACCTTCCTCTTTTTCTGACTGTACGAACCATGCTTCGATGCCCCCCTTTTTCTTCCACTTTGACATGGGTTTGAAAGCTGGGGCAGTTTACGATCTGCACACCATCTTAGCAGCCTTTTAGGCATCAGAGAATGGCTTGGATTGGAAAGGACCTTAAAGTCCAACCAGCTCCAACCCCTGCTGTGGGCTGGTTGCCCACCACAACAGCTCAGGCCTCCCAGAGCCCATCCAACTTGAACTTGAACATCTCCACGGATCGAGCATCCACAACTTCTTTGGGCAGCAGGGCCAGTGCCTCATCACCTTTCTTGCACCAAATCATTTTCTTATATACAGCTTAAATCTCCCCTCTTTTAGCTTGACCCCATTTCCCTTTGTCTTACCACAACAGAGTTCATTGCTGTTGTTCAAAGTACAGACACTTACTCACCTAGAAGGAGCGTGAAAAGGATTTATTTAGAAGAGGGAAAGGGAAGAGAAATGCCCACGCAGCTTTACATAAATAAGAAATGTATTCCTGGTTTACCCCTTGTTCGGAAACACTTGGGGCTGTCAAAGCGTAAAAACACCCGTTTGGTCAGTGACTAACCACAACTTTCTTCTTTTAAACAACTACAGCGCTGTGGTTCTGGATGGAAAGATATACGCCACCGGAGGGATCGTTAGCAGCGAGGGACCTGCCCTGGGCAACATGGAAGCCTACGATCCTAAAATAAACACCTGGACACTTCTCCCAAACATGCCGTGCCCTGTTTTTCGACACGGCTGCGTAGTTATCAAGAAGTACATTCAGAGCGGCTGACAGAGCGAGGAGTCGGACGGAGAACTGCTTGTTCCTGTTGAAAGCAGGCAAAGAGAATGCTACTACTCATCACAAAAGCAGCAAAGCCAGCCAGCGAACATATTGCTCTAAAGTCTTGAATAGTGTCTACATTGAATGTAGAAAAATCATCCTCACCTTTTGGTGAACAAGGAGCAGAGAGCTCCGTGCTATGTAAGATATTGTAACTTAAGAATACAAGTGTGTCACTAGATGTTATAGTGGCACTTGTTCTGGACGTCGGCTTTTGGTCAACCCAGGTGCAATAGAATTTCACATATTTTTTAAGCTGAGGAAGAGAGGAAAAAAAAAATAATCTGCATTTTACTTCTAGAGCTCAAGCTTGATTCTTAAAATAACCGTGCAGATTAGTTTTACTATTACACTTTAGGCATCAGTCTATTTGAAAGGTCAAAGTGTCCTTACCACTTTGATTCCTGCATTTGTTTTTAACAAATACATGCTTTTCAATACCAATGACTGAGAGAAATCTTGTGTGACGAATGGCTTACCTTGATGTCAGTCTTCCATCAGGTGAAACGTGAAGTTCTCTGGAGCAGAGCCCGAGAGAGGGACGAGGCAGGGGCTGGGGAGAAGAGCCATTGGTAACACAATTCCACGTAATACAGAGAAAGGAGGTCTGTTGGGCTGTGCGGATTTCTGCTCCCAGGGATGTTTGTGTGGGCACACACAGAGCTGGGGCTCCCGATGCTTTCCTCCCAGTTCGGCTGCTGAGCAGATGTTTCTGTGCCCAGTAATGCAACACGGAAAAGGTTTGGAATTCAGAGGCGTTCTCCGGATTGAACTGCACTCAGTTCTGCAGATTGGGATCACGTTGACACCCACCCAGCGTAGCGTGGGATTTCCACATTTCCAACTAGCAGAGGAGGAGTTGCCTCCAGTTGTGGCTACACATTCGATTTCGGCTGTCCACCAAAATTCCTTACTCTGGGACACCTGCCACTTATCTCTTCCTTTTATGTAAAGTCTATGAAGATTCTTATTTCTTCTTCTTTTTTTTTTTTTTTTTTTTTTTTAAAGAAAAAAAAAAGTTTCCTTATAAGTGTGGAAATCTTACCTGATACTTATTTACAGATTTTAAACACACAAGTTGAAATCCCATGGTAGAAAAATGCATAGACTTAAGCCCAGTATAAGAAACTTTAAATGATTACTATGTAGAGTTGTAAGTATATGCACAGCACAGGGGTTATATTTTTATATATATTAAAATATTGTCTATCCAGAGAGCATTGTGATGTGGAAATTCTTTATAAATTTATACATAGAAGGATCAAATGGGAGATGGACTGGGTGATCCAGAGGGGGCAGGGGAAAGACTCTTAAGGTTAACAAACAGAAAGTAGCCTCAAGCTAAGGACTGTCCAATTTCTTCCCAAGTAGAGGGAAAAAAAGTTCCCATTCTTGCCTTTGCAGACCCAATGCCAAACACCATGCTGGTAATTCAAGCAAGAGTTCCTCTACAGGGTGTGGGCGAGATCCTACAGTCAATATCTGGTTGAATTTCATACCAAATACGTTAGCCTTTTTATACTGAGGGAAGACTGCCTGCAGCTTCGGGGAAATCGATGCAGATGGTTAGCTAATCATCTTATTTTATTAATAATCATTTATAAAAGAAAGAAATTTGTATCTTGCAGTATTTAAAGAAAAAAGTGCTCACGTCAGCTGAGTCGAGCTCTACAGCGACTCAAGTCTCTCATTTTGACAGTGAGGTTCCAGCCTTTGTTATGCAGTTGTTTTATTTATTCTTTAAAGAAAAAAAATAATAATAATAAGCACAACAGAAAGTTATCTACTAGTATGTCATTTAAAGTATTTATGTCAAACAGGGTGCAAGTGTGAACCTAAGGATTGGAGCACAAGTTTCTAACTGCCTGGGGCAGGACTAATTTAGTGTTGGTGTGCGTCTGCCTCCAAAGGAGGTGCTGCCTGTCAGCAAGACCCAAACACATTCGACATTTCCAGTTTAGCTTATTTCTTCATTTTTCACACTGGAACAAAACTGGCTATTTCTGTGAATAATATTAAAAACAGGGTTATCTGTAATGGTATTGTATATAGTTTATGTTTACTGTTAAGTTCTTGTTATATTATAATAAATATATTTATAGATCTAGATTCAGCATCCAGATTGGATTAATTTTGTCACGAGTCACCAAGAGATACCTTTGCATTAATGATTATTTCCACTCCCATCCCAGTCATGGATGAAAGCTTTTCATTCCAGATGGTTTCTCTTGCAAGTCCCTAAATGCACTGCCAATGTTTAAATGCTCAGCAACTTCCCAAGTACTTCCATTCTCATTTTGGAAAAAGGACTTTGGATTTTATTCATCAAGACCACTTCTTCTTCATCTCTCTATTCCCCTAAATTTACTATTAAACAAAGACCAAAAGGGCTCATGATAATTTAGGAGGAAAAAAAAGTATCTTGAATCTTTACCTTAAAATGCCACAAAGTCACTCTTTGCTTTTGTAATGGAAGTTAGGATGTCTGAAAGATGAAAGCCGCTGTGCCCTACCGTCAGAATTCCTTCCCGTCGCAGAGCAGGAGCTCTACGATTCACCGCCGGACACCGCTTCCAGGGAGCACTTAGGTACAGCCACGCGTGGCTTTGATGTTTCATTAGGGCGACATCTGGTAGCTGTAAAGCTGGATGGGGAA